TTGCCCCTCCGCAAGTGAGGCTCATTCTGCTGCTGCAGTGATTCCATGCTCTACAACGCTCCAATACTCCTTTGAACGTAGAAAATTTTCCATAAGCATCGCCCAATGGTCATAATGCCCATCCAGTTTCGGAATGGATGCTTGCACAAAACCACTTCCTTCTCCTGCCATTTTCTCGTGCTTCTTCACTCAAAAGATTGCTATCTCTCAAGCTTCAACCAAGAGCTCCAGGTGGGGGCTCTGATACCAAATGTTAGATCTGAGTTTTGTCAACAAAGATCTTTTGCAAGCTATGAGAAATCACGTTAATATTAAACGAAGAACAAACAGGCTTTATATAAGCCTTACACAGTAACTGAATGAAAACATGCAGCCCACGTTGAACATAAACCTAAACGTGGTAGAAGAATAAGTCTGAAAGAGAAACTGATCCCTAAATTCTAGGGTTTATTTCACCATGCAGTTGAAACTGCTTACATAATTAACCCTAAACTTACGTAGTGGATAAAACCACTACTTCTAACATCATCGAATCCAACGTTACATGGATTTTTTTTTTAAAGGACTCGCTGGTGTCTTTATCACGATAATTCATCTTTTCGAATGTGGGAAGATTTACAAAGGAAATTTCAGTCTCTTGTGATCACCATTGTGCGATTCAGCGGTAAAAATCAAACTCAAAACGTGCCGTGTAAAATATAAGCTTGGAATTCGTCTCTAATCACTAAGTCACCATGTTGCATGGATTGTAATGACTATCACATGCAAGCATACACATGAGTTCACAATGGCATGCAACTTCTTGTATTTTGGTATCATCAAGTCAAACGTGATTTTTTTTAAAAGGACCGGATTATGGTTTTGTCAGCGCAATCCATCCTTTTGGGTGTGGGAAAAATTTACAGAGGTATTTTAGCATTCTTCTGGCCACCATTGTGTGAACAGCCAACATAAAAAATTGAACGTAGAACGTGTAGTGTGAAATACATGCCTGAAATTCATCTCCCACTACTGAGCCAACCTGTAGTGGTTCATTGTTACATCAATTCAATAATAATTCATTAATCATGGCTCATCTTTTTTCAAGTAATGTCATGCATCAAAAGCAGTAGCAGAATCAGAATTTTATGTATGAGAAGGCAATAGATAAACCAAGAAAAGAAAAGAAAGGACATCTAATTTCAACTTTAACAAATTATGGACAAGAACCAAACCCTTTGGCAATTTGATTTGTGTCTCCTGGTGGGTTTTGGTGCATAGGGTACTAGAGTTAGATCCCGATAAGTTAAATGGTCTGATGATTCTTATTCAAAAATGTTTAACTTAAATGATCCACATTATAGCGGTATTTTTCTTCATTTGTAAATGAAAAGTTTTAGGTTTGAGACAAATTTGAATCAAATTATTGCTCGCTCATTATGAAGTTAAATTATTTCCATTAATGTATGTAATATCGCTTGTTAAAAAGAGGTGTGATATCCACTCACCCCGTTTTATTTCTCACACACCTTTTTAATTTTCGGTCGTCGGATTAGATGAATTGAAGAAGTTCAAAGGACAGAAATGATCAAGGATGTGTGAGAAGTAAAATGAGGTGTGTGGATAACATATCTCGTTAAAAAAACAATAGACGACCCCAATTGAGCCGCCCCATCCACTGTTGTTTCTAATCTGGCCCGGCCCGGCCCAGCCCATTGAAAAGTCTTAAAACCTCCATACGCGAGTAGGACAGTCTTCCCACCAAACTTTATTGAATTGGGACCAAAACTTCAGATGAAAAATTGCGACTGTTGGTACGCGCGAGTAAAGACGCAGTCGTCTGCTCTGCTCTCTCCTTCCTCAATTGGCAAGCTTCAGGAGAACGAAACCACGACGAAGCTTCGTTTCTTCTTCTTCTTCTTCTTCCTTAGCACTCTTTCTGTATCTCTTTCCTCTCTCTCTCCCCCCCCCCTCCGCAGAAAGAGTGCTAGACCCCTCTCTCTCTCTCTAGCCAAAGGTACCCTCTGAAACCCCTTCTAATTTCGCTTGGATAATATCAAAATTGTCTTTCTACCACATGAATTTCTCGACCCTTTATTGAATTCGAGATCTTTTTGCCGATTTCCCATTTGATTGGATCAAAACTCTAGAGTTTTTTCGTTTCCCCTGCTCGGGCGTTCTCTATCGACCCCTGTCCGGGTTTGGAATTCCGAAATTTAGGGCTTGATAGTAGGAGGGTTGGGAATAGAAATCATGATCAAACCCAAGTGGTTTTTTGGGGCGGAAAATTCCAAATCTCGTGGGCTTTTCAATGGAATTTGTACTTTGGTATTGGTCTTCTTGTTCTACAGCCAGGATAGCTTTCTTAGAAACCCTTCTCTGGGTGGTTCCCCTTCGGTTCTTCCTCCTCGATGGAGCTCCAAAGTAAATGGATTTGGCGATCCTGGTCGTCAGGTCGTAATTATTCGCCGGAGGATTGCCGAAGTTGATGTTTCTCCGTCGAATTATAGTGTCAGTGTTAATGGGTCGGATGTCAATTTGAGATCAGAACCTAATCCCCAATTATGCACCGGGTTGTTCAAACACGAAGGGTATCGGAGCAAATGTGAGTTCTTGATTGCCCATCCAGAGTGTACTTCCGGTGGGTATTTGAATTACATTCATTTCTTTTACTGCAGCTGTGAGAAAGTTAGCATTTTGGGGTATGTAGTGTTGGCAATTTGGCTAGCTGCATTGTTCTATCTTTTGGGTAATACTGCGGCAGATTACTTCTGTTGTTCTCTGGAGAAGCTTTCGAGTCTCTTGAAGCTACCGGCTACTGTGGCCGGTGTGTCTCTGCTTCCACTCGGGAATGGCGCTCCTGATGTGTTTGCCAGCATTGCTGCTTTTGTGGGTAAGGATGCCGGGGGAGTGGGCCTTAATAGTGTGTTGGGGGGAGCTGTCTTCGTTACTTGTATTGTTGTTGGGACTATATCTCTATGTGTGGCGGATAAGGGGTTTCAGATTGATAAGAAATGCTTTATCAGAGATATATGTTTTTTCCTCTTTACTGTTATGTCTCTTGCCTTAATGTTGATGGTTGGTGAGGTTACTGTCTGGGGTGCTATAGCGTTTGTCTTGATTTACGTGGTTTATGCATTTGTGGTCGCTGCAAACGAGCTTCTGAGGAAACATGTTCGAAAATTGAGGTTAGATGCTGTAACACCATTGCTACCGGTTAGGGGAAGTATATTTTCTCAGGGAAGCGATGAAGAGGAATCTGTATATGCTTCGCTCCTTGAGTCTGAATCAGACAGCGAGGTACCTCAGCTCCAAAGTAAGTTGCCACAGTGGATGTGGGCTTCAAATGTGGCAATTTATTCGAATCACGATGTGAAGGCTGGTTCAGACAGTCCAAGGTCATTGTGGGGTTGGAACGAGGATGAAACAGTGAAGGAAAACTCTTCCTCTTTTAGTTTTTTATCACTGCTGGAGATTCCGTTGACACTGCCAAGACGGTTGACGATCCCTATAGTCGAGGAGGATAGGTGGTCCAAAGGTTATGCTGTTGCCAGTGCTGTGTTAGCTCCCATTCTTCTGTTATTCTTATGGAACACCCAAGAAGATGTCGGATCTCTGAGCAAGGAAATTGCCTACTTTATAGGCTTTCTCTGCAGTGGTGTCTTTGGCATTCTTGCATATCGACACACCAGACCGGACCAGCCCCCTCGCAAATTTTTATTTCCGTGGGTTTTAGGAGGGTTTTTTATGAGCATCATCTGGTTCTACATTGTTGCAAACGAGCTCGTCGCCTTGCTGGTGGCATTTGGCGTAATTTTTGGAATTAGTCCATCAATCCTTGGATTGACTGTATTAGCATGGGGAAACTCAATGGGTGATTTAATGTCAAACGTTGCATTGGCAATGAATGGTGGAGATGGTGTACAGATTGCAATGTCAGGATGTTATGCCGGACCTATGTTTAACACACTTGCTGGTTTGGGGATCTCAATGCTGCTTGCATCCTGGTCTCAGAGGCCGGTACCGTACAAAATTCCCAAAGATAACAGCTTGTTTTATACAATGGGATTTCTAATATCAGGGCTTCTATGGTCACTTGTTGTGCTACCCAGGAATGGCATGCGCCTTAACAAGACCTTAGGACTTGGCCTCATAACAATCTATTTGGTATTTCTCTCCCTCAGGCTAGGCACCTCAACGGGAGTGCTGTGGTAGATCTATGACGAAGATGCCGTGGATTGGTAACTAAAAATGTTGTGTCTTGTACAGTGTTGAGTTGGAATGAATGTTGATACTGTTAGTTGCGTCTGTCAGCATTGTTAACTGATACTAGATTATAATCCCAGATAATGTACTACAAATTTCATGTTAATATGAAAAAGAGATTTAGTTTCCACGAATTCGGTTTGCCAACTTGTATAACCTTATGGTTTTCTGAGATTGTTATTTCTCTGTGTCGTTTTACACCTCTATTTGGTGATGGAACGTTGCGATGCTTATTTCATTAATTGGTTTTCCATGTGTGTTGTTCAAGAATGCTTGCTTGGCATAATGTCGTAACATTTCTCCTGCTTACTATGAATTGGTTAACTGAATCAGGCAACTGAGCTAATGTTTAGATTTCCTGACGCATTCCGATGCCTGTGAAGATGGTCCGAAGGTCCGTGGACAGAAATCTTGACCTGTACTCGGTAGGTTACCATCAAAGATGTTAAATTTTGCACTATTATCATTTATCAATCTCTTGCAATCAAATTTCCCATCCCATTAGTTGTAGTTGAACACATATTTCATTTCAGAAATGTCTCCTTTGTTTAAAATTCCGCATTTTGGCAACTCAACGGGAATGACATGCTCACGCTTCTGCAGCGGCAGGGCTCCTCCATGAGATTCTATGAAATGGCGAAGTCGGGTAAGAACTCCTTTACATTGTGGAATTGATTTTCACTTTTCATTGTGTATTTATATTGAAACGGATTCTGTATCTACGGTTTAGTACATTGGTGGTGCATCCTTTTGGGAAAAGTAAAAATGTATCTCCAATTACAAACCAGAGAGTTGCAAAAAATACCTTCTAAAAGCTTTAACAAATGAGTTCCCAGTTAGTAACTTAGTACAGGTTGGGACAACTAAAACGTTATCCATCAAACAATCCATGAAAAATGAAAATTGAAGGATTAGCAGCTTCCAAAATTCAGAAAATTGAACTCTGCTGCAGAGTAGCAGATATCATGTTTCGACGTGAAATCAAGGAAAGCTTCTCTTTAGAATCTGAAGTAATTTAGCACCTGGTGGATTCACCGTAGATGTAGTCAAGAATCGTAATGACTCCAATGATGAAAGCTTGATCCATGCCTGGTGTCACCACAACATGGTAGAGATCCTTGCTCGCCATCAATTCCTTCTTCACCCCGATCTGTGTTTCAATTTAACCAACGACAAATCCCCACCTTAATCATTTCAGAAGCAATTTACAAAGAAAGAAAGTCTTATAGGTTCGTCTTGAATTGGAATTAATTACCTGTGCCATTGTGTTGCCCTTAGAGTCAACAATACTACAATCCTTATCAGGAAAATAGCCCTTGATCTCAAAGTCCCAGTCTTTGTTTTTCGTGGCTTTCGTTGAGATTCTGATTGCTTGAGTCGTTGCCAAACACGAGTTTGGCTGTTTTAAACAGAAAACCATCTGATCCTGTGATCCTTCGTAGTCTAAACTATACCCCTTCCATTTCCGATAAATGCTTAGGGCCTCGACCATTGCACCCTGGTACATATACGAATCAATATGAGTGAGCGGAAACTGATTAAGCATCCCTAACACCTCTTCATGTACATGCCATAATGCAAACTGAAACATGTTTTGTCTTATAGATGCATGCTTGATTGAAATTCTATTTTGAATTTTTTGAATTGAACATATATATGTATACCTTTCGACGAATAAGAAGCAAGGCATCTCCATCACTGTCCCTCAGAATCATCTCATCCTTTTTCCCCAGAATTCCACATCCATCAACCTTGAAAGAAACCTTCTGACTACAATCCGTAACCACAAAACCACCTCCGTTTATCACGTGTGGCCTCCTCCTTATGACAAGCACAGTCTGAGAAGACGAACAGTACATCTTGCTAATTATAGGCATGATCATATTGTCTTGTGCCCCCATCTCTTTCTTTGCTATCTGTATTCAACTAATCTGCTTCGCTCGATGACAACTTTGAGTTTGATCTCGTTGCTAACTTCTTTTTATACACAAAGCTTAGAGATAGACTAAGAAGAGTAGGAAAGCTTCTTGCCTTAGGGAGGCTTTAGGGTCTAGTGGTTTCTACATTCAAATGTTTGGCAAGTTTTGACTCTGCATATACCATACGCATAAGTTGGAAGAATATCTGAATTCGAATGTGCTTGCTTGGCAGAGATGCAGTTGCTTGTTCGAGATGACGATTGCTGGCCAATGAAACGGGAGAGTTTTCGCTTGGAATCAACAGCTTTCTGCTCAAGGTAAGAGCCTTTTGGTTTAATCTTTAAGAGGTACACCGCGTTTCTTAATTTGGCTAAACTTTTTGTTTAATTATTTGAGTTTGGTAGCTCAAAGTCTTAAGGGAGAATATTTGAAAGCGTAAATCTCTTGGAAAGAGGGCGTTCAGGTTCGTTGTTCTTACGTTAACTTGGGTTAAGCATATTGTTTGGTGTCCAATTGGACTGCAGTTCAAAGATTCTTTCATATCTTTTTATGACCTTTTGAATTATTGCCAGAGATGCTTGTCACCTTTCAAGGTTTGCAAAGTTTAACAAAATATAATTATGTTAAGTTTGCACTTAATTGCCCCTAAAACGGTGTTTTGGATTGTGTTTCATGGTCGGTTCTGACCTACAGTTTAGGGGTTGCTTTCCATCCTTCTATCCTTTTTTTTTTCTTTCTTTTAGTTTAATTTATGAAAGAGACGTTACGTCATTGAAGGATAAGTATCCCAGACAATACAAGAAGACCAAGAAATGTCATCAACTTATACGTGAAGGTCAAGAACATAAGCGGCATTCTTATCAACAACATGTTTAAACATAAACAGCTTTCTTATAAGCACTAGTCTTATCAAGAGCATGTAGAAACATAAGCAGTATTCTTATCACGAACATGTACAAACATAATCGGCATTCTTATCAAGAACATGTAGAAACATAAGCGGCGTTCTTATAAAAAATATGCGCTTTCTAAATACAATCACGACACACAATTACAAAATGCTTATCTAAGGACAATGGTCTACCATTTAACAAGCTCACATGCCAAACAGATTAGGAAGGCCCATAAAATGCTAATGTAAGTTCGTTTGTCAAAGAAGATCATGAGTTTGAATCTCATAATTAAATAAAAGAAAGAGCTAGTTTAATTTTTTTTTATTTTTCTTCTCTGCTTTGGCATCATTAGGTAAAAATGGCACTCTCACTCGTGGACGATCAACCCATTTCCTCTTAAGAAAGAATACTCAAGTACAGTCTTCTATGTTATGTTACTCGGTCGCTCAAGACACACACGAGAAACTCTTGCAAATTTCAGACATAAAATAAAATAAAACATTTTTTTTTCTTGGTAAATAAACGTTAAATAAACTATAGGTATTATTTTCGAGCCAAGAGCTTTAGCCTGTGATTCTGTGAGGGCATTTTGCCAAACAAGGTAACTGTGAGCGTGCACACGTGTGGTATGTTGCGCGTGCGTGGGCAACCATAAAAAGGGAAGAAGACGCTAATGTTACAGCTTTTACACTCTATCTAATCCACCGCCACTACCCCCTGCGCACGTTAGCACCTTCACGGAGGAGAAGGGAGATTGAAAGAGGTAGTGCCTTGGGCTTTGTAGCCCGAGAAATGGTGGGCCTGGCCCACTCGACATGTTATCAGAGAATCAGAGACCCCTCTTTTTGCCGTGGTACTTTGCGAAAGAGCAGGAAATTCATGATGCGTCGCCTCACCGGCGGGTCCCACTTGGATGAATGAATGAATGAATGAATGCAGAAAAGATTTTTCAATATGATCAGAACATGGGATAATGCATTACGTATCATCGTATAAATGGTGAAATGTATGTGTTAAAATGTTAATAATTAAAAAATAAAATTTATCACCACTTATATAAAAAAAAGTGATGTACCACCCGTACTTCGGTCATAATAAAAAAATTCTCGGCCACCTCCCTCCCTCCAGAGACGTGGTCACCCCCACCGATGGCACGTGGAGTTCAAAAACTATTCCGCAACCGTACGGGAGCCTGACGTGTGTAATTGAATTAATTTGGTTTGATAAATTCTCTCTCAATTTTGGCAATCTATTTTTACAAAGCTCTTTTTCTACCGTTGGATATTTCACTCACCGTAAAGTTGCAATCGTAAGTTATGTTAATTGATTAAGATGTTTTATTTTAAATTGACAAATTCTCATTCCGCCTCATTTTTTTACAGGAGGCAGATTATCTGCTCTCTTACTTCCCGTGCCCTTATATTTTGTCTTATTATTTTTATAAAAAAATAATATAAAATGTTGACGTGGTTTAACTGTGACCACACAAATCAAAAGGCACGAGAAGGCATAGAAAGTGGGAGGGCAGAAAATCTACCTCCTTTTTGACAACCGTTTGAGTTTGAACCATGAGATGGCGAGTTTGCCAAAGGTTGAGTTTGGGTGGGGGAAGATCCCATTTCTATGTGTACTAATATGTACGAGCTAATCACAAGTTCGCACCAAATTCATAATAAATGTGTGTTAGTATATCATGAAAGTTTAAAGTAAGTCAAAATATAACCAAACAGAGATAATTGTCACTACATCAAAGAACTCATTGGTTATTGCCTTGGTAAGTTTGCTTGGTCCTTACGAGTTATGATTTGGTGTGTCAGTGAGTGTGAACAACAATGATTTATTGGAAATATTAAGAAGATTCTCTCAAAAGTGATTTTTTATAGACTCTTTACCATTTCATATTTGTGGTACAATTTTTATGCCAACATTATAAAATATTGTGCCAAAAACATGAAGTGGCGGAGAGTCTATGCAGAGTTTTACTTGAGAGAGTCTCCTCAGCATTTGTCATGACTTGCATATGCATTTTTGGAACAACAAAGTCAAGCTTTGGATACCAAATTGGCAAATTATTGTAACTTTTTTTTTAACAAAAGATATTATCTACACCCATGGGGTGAGGGAATGAGTTAAGCCTCACAATGAACTAGCAATAATATGATTCAAATTCGCATTTGGCGAGAATCGGATCTAAGACGTCTCACTTACAAGTGAAGAGGATTTCACTTATAAATAAAGAGAAATATCACTAGATTGTAATATTAAGTGACTCCAAATTATTGTACTTAAGAGAGGCATAGAAATTCAAAGTCAAAAGTCACATGAATTGAAGTGTGGGACTATATATTTTCATGTATAATTTGAAACAAATGTAAGTAATGGGCCAGCTGTAACTGAGATTATGGACCATTTTTACTGAGAATATAGCTGGATAATTGAAGCCCAATAAAAGGTACAGTGTAATACAATCGTGACATGGGTTAATTGAGATTAAATTTCTCTGACTGGTCATCCTGGCAAAATTAGGAGAGGGGACAGCGTCAAATTAAAAAGATGTATGAGAAATAAAAATAAATGTGTGAATAATACTATTTTATAAAAAAAACTCTCTAAATAGGAACTTGTAAGTAAAAGGACTATTATCACTGTCATTTTTGTATAAGATGCAGTAAAAAGGTGGCCCCCAAAGTTGAAGGCCAATGAGATCACCCATTTGACAAACTTTCATCTCAATAATTTGGTTTGGACATACTTGTTGAGACAATTTTTCAATAGAAATGTGGCCATATCACCCTATTTGGGACGACTTGTATCGGAGAGTATAAACGAGTAGGGATGCCTTTGACAATAGCCGCAACGTGAGTGCATGGAAGAAGAATTGAGTTTTTTTATTTATCTCGTTTAAACCCTTATCAAGATTCAAAACGACATTGTTTTGGTCAATTTTTTTTTTCAGCATTCGTATTTTGCTTTTCTCCTCCATTTCAAATCTACTTCACCCAAAATTTTCACCCTTCCCTCAAATTTCTCTATCCAACTTTCTTCCTTAATCCTTTCATGGAAAATAACCTATAAGTTTTTCACTAGAATTTTTTTTTTGTTTTGAATATGTTGTGTTAGTTTATATGTCCAGATAATTTACTCTCTGCATTTTGGTCCATATAGTTTTGATTTTGAAAAGTGTAACTATGTAGTTTGTTTGTTTTTGCAATTATTCAAAAATCGCTAGCTTGGTAATTAAAGAATGAAATCTAATGTGGCAGCAATGTGTATTAGCAATTTAGACATTTCAAGTGTGTTGACTTTAAAAGAAAGCGTTACTCACGTGCACACAAATCAATAAGTGAAAAGTGGGGATATCACATGAATTAATCAGAGCGTTCATGGTCTTTTATGGACTAGATTGTCGTTTTAGGCATGTTTATGAATATGAATTGTTGTTTTAGGCAAATTAATACGTGTTTAAAAAGTTAGATGACTCAAAATGTCGACGATGCACGTATTGCCACACCAAATATTTCTTCTTCAAGTAAACGAAGTTAATGATTGCAACTAAAAAATTTACAGAAGTAAATTAACTGTGCCAATATTGAAACTTCAAACACTAAGTGAAAGACTAATCTAATTACAGGGATTAAAAGTGTAACTTTACCTAAAAATTAAGATAAAAGTTGATGGCGCAACTTTCATGACACGAACAAATTGTTACTATAGATAGTGTTTCACGTTAATTGTACAACAACGTATATAAGTTCCTATCCACATAAGGTTAAATTTTTGGCTCATAACGTCGCGATAATATACATGTACCATAGAAGTCCTCCAATTACTGTGGTACAAGGTAAAGGTAAAATCGACACGAATTTTTATCCAGATGGTTAGTTATTCTCAAAATCAGGGCTTGATTTGTCCAATTCTGTTTTGGCCGAACACTTGTGATTTCCCCCCTTTTTTCTATTTCCTACGCAGCGGTCACGTGCTGTCTGAGATACTTCCCCATCGTGCGTTTCGCTTCTTCCTCTGCAAATCCTGCAGCTCACTCACCTCTTCAAACTTAAAATAATACAAATTCAACAGATTTATTTATTTAAAAACACACAGAAAAAGCTTTAGTTTTTACTTGTTTAAGTTGTTTTTCTACAAATTCGACCCCAAAAATCTCACTCAAAATATTTGCCAAATGTGATCGTACGGACACTGGCAGTTGCAGGCTTTTTTTGCACAGCCGTCTTTACTATTACCATTACCATTACCATTACTATTGGTTTAATTAATTGATTAATTGGGTTCATTAACTGTCTCTGCAATTACCAAAACATGCAAACAAAGCCCAAGTTGGA